TCATAATCAATGACGAATATCATTAACGTACGGTAACAACTGTTCTACATTTATCTAATCTATTGTTTCCCAAAGTTTTGACATCCGTGTAACCTTACTTAAATGTTCGAAAATATTGAGCATCCCTTGTCAAAACAAAGAAAAACCTTTTGCGTAATCACCCAAATGCAGCACTTGTCACAACTTAAGTAAGATCATTCACACGAAATATATAATTTATTAGATACATATATATTTCAAATACTTTGTTATATACAGCATTTATCCCAATAATAATTTTATGCGTCCGTGATATAACTCATATTTTCTGATCTTTCGCATACCGTTGTGGGTACGCATACCACAGTTTGGGAAATACCGATCAGGTATTTAAACTATTTCATTTAAACTAAAAGTGCTACTTGAACCAAGCAGTTACTCTATGTATTTATTTATATTATAGAGTTATACATTTTGTAACCGAAGTAGATCGAGCATATAATTATAAGATTGGATCTTATTTATCTGTCCCTTCTTTGAGTAAATTAATGCATTAAAGTTTACATTTTTCAAAGCTATTTATTATCACATCAATAATTCATGAATATAAAAATATTAAAAAGTTTAATAATATACAGTTCACCCCTATAACGCGGGTTCTTATAACGTAGATTCCTATAACGCGGCGAAAAAATTGCGACAGTATTCGTATAAAAACGCTAAAAGGGACGCGTAAAACGCGGTAAAACGTCATCGCCAACTCGTCATCGCGGACGAGCAGCCGAACTACTTTTCGCCGTCCAGCGCCACGCTACGGAGAGTTTAGGCGGGTAAGTTGAGTTTACTATCGTCTGTACAGTATGTAAATTAGGTACCGTAAGTCTAATACAGCACTGTAATTTTATACATTTCTTGTGAAAGAAACATTTCTTATTCAACGGCCATAAAAATTATTTCTATTAAGGATGTCTCCAGAGTTCAACGAATTTTTCGCAGAAAAATAACATCAGAAATCGCGGCCGCCGTTTGGTGCGCTGCTCCGCGACGAACACAAGCTTAAGCAATGGCGACGTCGAACGGTGCACACTCGGTAAGTAATCCTACAATTTTTTGTTTATAGCATAGTTTATACGGATTATTCCCAAAAAATTATACGTATTTTGGAAATGTTAAGTCGAATTAGTCTAGAATCGATTAATTTTATGGAAGAAAACCTTTCAAACAGCCGTAGTCCGTAAACTTCACACGTGTCGGGCTGCGATTGGCTCATGTATTTAAGGATTCCTACAACGCGAAATTCGTATAACGAGGAACGTATCTACCGCGTTATAGGGGGTCTACTTGTATATTAATAGATTGTTTAGTTAAACGTAATTTAAAATTTGAATAAAATGCATTGGTAGAGTTTTTAAACGACTTGTGATATTTAAATATTTAATGTTATCTTATTATTAAATTGAATAAATTAAAATTCGTATAACGATATAAGAAAATATTAACTAACTACAAAATTTTATTAACCATAAAATATAATAAATGATAATGCATCTACACCAACTATGAAAATCCTCATCATCGTCAGAAGGAGAAGAAAAAAATTCTGTATCCATACACTCTAACAAGTTTATTAAACATTTAAAAATTCAAAGAAAAGTTTAAACAATATACATTTACTAAAAACGTCTTTTCTTCACACCTCAAAAATGCAAGTCGTACGGAAAACTCCACATTTATTTGGAGACACTTCCGCCTCAGTGGAAAACATCAAAAGCATTCCTTTGGCAATGGTACAATTATAAAATTAAATATATTATTTAATACATTATTAGGTTTGTTATCGAGAATTATTGTTTAAATGTTTTAATTTATTTTTTGTTATTAAATTAATAATAACTATATGTTCATTAAAAAGCACAAATAACCAAAATGTTTATAAAGGCCTACTACTCAAATTTGCATAGTAGCTATAAGCTAAGTCTTATAAATAGCAGAATGCCTTATAAATTTTCAAAAAAGGCCACATATTTGTTCAATTCTTCAATGACACATTCGAGCAAATAAATAGAAAACTTGGACAAATGATCAAAATTATTTGTATTGCACTTTTTATTTTTAGATAAAAGTCCTCAAGACCAGTTTTTTTTTCAGTTTTTAAAAAATATCATATATTTTTTCTACTTATTTTCAGGTTTTTTGACAAATTTTTATTATACAAAAATAACATTATACAATTATTATGTGAAATTTGTTGCTTTTTATTTCTTCTAATGAAGAGTAACCATGCATGACCTGATTCAGCATTTTTATTTAATTTTTCCAATGATGACATGCATTTCGAGTGTCTTTAGCACTTCTCTTCAGTCTAGTTGAATCTATTTCTGTAGAATTCACAATAAGACTATTAAACCTTCTATTTACATTAACATTTTTTATTAATCTGAAGGTAATTTCACATATCGATTTAGACAATTCGCATAGAAAAAATATCTGAATCAATTATTCATTACAATTTTAAACAAATTAAATGTTTAAACTATTGATAACATTTATAATTAAATATCTAATGATCTTAATAAAGCTGCACTTATCACTTCCGAAAATATTTATTGTGGAGAAAGGTTTTAAATCCAAAGTAAACATTTATGTAGTTGCGTGGTTTTGATATTAATTGTTTAAATAATTATTCTCTTTATCTTTTTTACATTCTATTTCAAACTGAAATTTTTTCTAGCATAAAATTGTACACCTTTAAAATTAGCAATCTTACAATCATTCTGAGTTCCGCTGATTTGAGTTTAAAACCAACCCCATCGATATTGTATATACTTGCATAAAAATAAATTTGAACACGAAAAACTTATAATTTGCAGTTGATGTCTAATAATTAAAATAACCTTGTTTTGTTATAAGTGTTGTTTATATGTTTTTAATTATTTCAGAAATTAGAAGAGGCAGAAAGTTCTTTCTCGAATTTTACAGTTTTTACAATGGGTTTAGAATTACTTTTATTAAAGTTTTTTTAAAATTTTTTATTAAATAAAGTTGTTGTATCAGGTCCTATGCTGGTCCAGTTTTCTTTACAAGAATAAATAGATTAGCGCCTTTATCTAAACTTCAAATTCTTTTATTTCTCATTTAAAAATCATGATACGCGGCCTATGCAAATACGTTTTTGTTTCTTTTCTATTATTTTTTCGTTATGTGAATGATTCAGTAGTGTGCCGTCATTTGAAGCGGTGGAAGCGCCGCTTCCCTTGTATTTTCTAAAAAATAAATACATATTGTGCGATTATTTTCATATAATTAAAATTAATATTTTATTATAACCGCATTATGTATCCTATTACAAATTTCTATACTACAAGTGAAAAAAAAAAACTATAAGATCGTATTGTATATTCGAATATTAGTGGCAGAATGGAAGCACTGTATTGTCAGCTTCCAAACAGCCAGATTATACTCATTCGCGCATGCAGAGCACCAACCACACCCGGTTTAGCTGGTGAAAGCTACACACGTATAACGCTTCCAATGATTCTATCCAGGACCGGTTCTGGGCTGTTAGCTGCCTGCCTGCTAGATATTTGGCTGCCCTCTCCCGATTATTTAAATCACGAGTATATTTATAACAACCCAAACGATAAGAATTTACTGGTATGATGTTTTTATGATAGTTCTGTATAGTTGACAGGAGTTTTAAAAAAATCCATTAAAATATTTGATATTTTTATTCCGCTCTCCAATCTTATATTACTTACGGATTTCAATATTAAACCAGTGATATTACGATTTCGTATGTCCCATCTTTTAAGGGATGTAGAAAAAAACGTGTACAATTCTTGTAAGATGTTAAAAAATTAACTGTTACTTTGGTAGCATCATTTACAACTAAATTTAATGAATGAGAGAATTCTAGAGCTTTTTCTGCAGGAGATACAGAAAAAGCTCTGGAATTTATTTTCCTTAAATTTACGATTTATGTATCAGTTGTCAAAAAAATTTGTCTTTCCACTTTTTTCCCAAGACTACAAATATTCAAGTACAAAGTAACCGGTTTCGACTTATTTCTACTTAAGAAGTAGTTAAATAATTAAGAGATTAGGGAATTAGGGATATAAATAAAACCCTGATGAAAGAGCCGAAAGTTTACTTAAACAAAAGATTAACCGAGAACAGTGTGGACTTATTTCTTCGTAATATCAGATGTAATAAAGACAGAAATTTTTTCAGTTCAATGAAAGTGACTAAAAGTTGTAAATTTTGANCCCTGTCCCGTCCTTTGAGATATACTAGTGATGCAACAAAAGAGGCATTTGACATTAACCGGTATAGGCACCCTGGGGATTTGGCAGCCCGCGTGCATGCACGCACCACACACCTAGCAGGACTGTCTCTGATTCCACTCGTAGGGAGCTATTTGACTAAGTGTTTAAGATTTAAAAAGTAAAGAAGATTTTATGTTATGTTTATGTACGTTTCTTTACAAAGCTATATTTAATTATAATTTTCTTTAAAAGTATATTCATACAATTGAAGAATATTTTGTACCAGATATGTACTGTACATCCACCACAGATTTTATTTCACCGAGTAAGTTTTTATTATTTTATTTATAATTTTAGCTCTTATATCGTGGCCAGAGATTCGGAATGTAATTGTGATATTAAAAATACACTTAAAGAAGTCTACAGTTTTTATTGGCTTATCGAACAAACGATACGAATGGATCCTATACCATCACTGACGTGCAATTAACTGGTTGCCCCTGGAAGTCGGCTTTTTTCAGAAACACAGCTTCCCTATCATCAAATGTCACGGCACGCTACTGGAATCATTATTTCTGAAAAATAATAACACAATATTTAATATGTTTAACCTGTACGTATTCAGTTCTATGTATTCTGTGTTGCTAGATATAATTCGCTCCTTTATTTCAAATATAAATCCTTGTTGCATAAATAACTGAGCTGAATACCTCCAGTTTAGATTTCCTCGGTTCAATTATATTTGTATTATTTAACCAAGTAAAAATTTAATTTTTACACGTAAATATTTCTCCCCATTTTTTATATTCTGTTCAAATCAAGATAACATGTTATTGTGATGTTAAAAATTACAAAAGAGTGCTATATAAATTTTTCATTTGAAAGATATTAATATTTTATGTTACTTCTCGTTTCAATTATTTTTGTATTATTTAACGTTGTGAATATTGTGCTTAATTTACGATTTCACAAAAATTATTTGAAGTCGAGCTTTTAAAAATTTTATAAATTATTTATATATTATTTATTTATATATTTATCAAACTACAATTTACAATTAAATAATGCTTTTGGCTGTAAAATGGGCAAAAAGATCATTTTATTTATAATAAATCCTGTTTTCTAGATTTAACAGTTTTATCTTTTGAGCTGTTTACGATGCCAAATATTAACTTTGAATAATGTGAAGAATTTTAATAAATTCTTTTGATCATTCAAGTATCTTTGATTTAAAAACGTCTCATAAAATGCGCATAATAGTAATTTTTAATTTTTTTAATAATTTAATTTTCTAAATCAGGGAAAGATACTAAATTTGATAAATAAATGAACTAAGTTTACAATCATCTAGATATGTACTGTAAATAAAAAGGCTAATAATTATGAGTATTAAACGTTTTCGAAAATAAACTTTTTATGAAGATAAAAAATTCTAAAATTGTTATTTAAACACATTCACATACATTTACGTATATATAAAAATATATTTCTTTAAAATAGAAATATGTTTATATTTCATAATTAATCTTAATTTTTTGTGGAAGTTAGAATGCCTTAAGCTGAGGCAGAGCCCGAAACAGTCCAATTTATAAATTATTGATATTGTATATAAAATAATTTGGTATGACAAATTTTTTTATATGTATTTTTCACAACTAACTAAGGAAACTTTAATTTACAACATATTCATTTCATGTTTTTATTATACATATTCTACTACATTATGCTGTAGTGACAAAATGGTATACAGCATGTAATGATATAACGTAGCGGTTTTTTACTAAACTGTAGCTCCCATTTGGAAATATTTTTTATTTAAAATATGAGAATGCTTTGTATTCCGAACACCAGAATAACTCCTTGCTGGACCCTTCTATCTGAATTAAGCTACAGTAATATAGAACCATAAAAATTTTAAACTTTTCAATCTAAAATATAAAAATTCAAGAATTCTAAATCTGCTCCAATTAAACAAATAAAATTACTTTTGTCTAATAAATAATTTAAAAATTAATTTCTCCTCTTAAATATTTTATTAACTGAAATACTGTACACTGTTGTGAAATTAATAAACAATTTTATAAAAAATTTATATTTTAAATGACAGTTTTACCTACAGAAATTAAATAGATGAAAATGTAAATAAATTATTTATTTTTTAAATTGCTACTAAAAATTATAAATCGTTATTCAGTTGGAATACAAAATAATTTTTATAGGCCTATAACTAATCTTAGAAAACTTTTTATACCATTTTGACTTTTTTAGCTTAAAATATACTTAATTATACTTGCAAAAAACTAAAAAATCGATTCGAATTAATTAAAATTGAAAGCAAATTAATTAAATTAACAAATTCTAACAACAATATTTGCTGATTTTATTTGAAAGCAACTGTTTTTAGAGTAATAACACTTAAAATTGTTGTCATAACCAGCAATATAATATATTTTAATTAAGAAATTCTTATATTGAATGATTGAACAAAATTATCAATATTTTTCTCGTAATATCGAAATGGTTACTGTAGTTACCCCTGGGAAATTCTCGAAAATGTGCATTGGTAGATGCTTATTATACCTATTCAATATCTACACTTTTCTTTGGCTTTCGTTATATAAGTGCCGCAAGTTAATATATATATATAAATTCGGTTTTTCGTAGAACCAAGAAGTTCCGTTACTTACCTCCTTTTCTTTACATATAATAATCATATAAATGCATATATTAAAAATTTAATATACGAATATATAAATGCATATATTCGTATATTAAATTTTTAATATTATCATTCAATCTCTTGCATAAAAAGAAATTACTTTCTAAAATATTTTAGCAAATTTCCATAGTAAGATAGGTTTAAATATTTGAAATTTCATTCAAAATTCACTAATGATATCAGTTTAGTTGTTAAATTATTCCTTAAACTCTAATCCATTTTCTCATTTCGTCTATTTTTTTACAGAAAAAATAACTAAAATTTTTTATATACATCTAAGCTGTATACTAAAGAACTTCAATTAGTTTACTCTTCTATAGCACATTAGTTTCCATCCAGGCGATTATTGCTAAAGTTTCTACAAAAAAGTACCTTCATTTTCTGACATCTCTAGGGGAACACAGAGAGAGATTGTTTGTCAGGAACGTTATAATACCCGCACTGATCTGTAATTTACGTAGTTGACTTTTCTTTCCAAATAATCCTAGAAAAGTAATGGAATTGATACGGGTATCGTGACTTCAAATTTGCCATTAAAACATTAAAAACAGATAGCAATAATTCGAAAGTGAAAATAGACTCGACAAAATGGCACTCTCCAAAAAAATTTAATTGTTTACAGTGTGAAAAATTTGATAACAAGAAAGATATTAAAGTTATTTAAACCACGAAAATATTTTTAAAAATAATGTATTAATATGTTAAAATTTCTAACAAAACATTAACTTGTGGTAGAATACTAGTTGATTTACTCTATTTAAAATAGGAAATTGTTATTTTCTCGAAGTATTTCTCTTAACATTTTTAAAAATTAATTTATTGCAAATTAAATATAAATTTTTATATTATATTAATTGTATTATCTTATAAATTATAATGATAAAATATAT